GTGCTCTCTCCATTCTAACCTTCTGGGGTATTAAAAAAAAACCTTCTGGGGTATAATCCGATATATTTATGGTAATTGATCATGCCTGAAAAGGCTAGAGAGGCACCTATGTGTGTATCTCAGAAGCAGATCTCAACCACAGCATATCAGGTCATCTTGGACCCCACTCCCCAGGGTGTTCCAGGTGAATTTAAGGGTCTGACTAACGTAGTTCTCAGCCTGATTTAGCTCCCTTTCTAATCCTGAAGTTCCAAGAAACTTTCTACTCTTAGACAAAATACAAATACCTGGAATTATTTAATCTTTCTTCGGAATCAAACTATGCCATGATACTTAATTCTTTTGTAATTATGTTGCATGACAATTGAGTGATGTAGTGATTTCTAATTTGATCTAATTGAAGCGGCAGTGTAACCCTTTTTGTCTTAACACAAACTTGATCTTTGTACATGTACATAATTTCCGGTAAAAGGCAGAGCATCACATACTGTTAAGTGAAAAGTTATGCACTTTGAAATTTGACCCCCCACCCCCACCCACCCACACACATATTGCACTTGTAGCGGAATGTGTTTATTTTGGATTGCTTTTTGCAAGAGTTGCTCTTTGTCTGTTAAGGTTAGTTGGGGAGGAATTATTTCCAATATTTCTGCACACTGATGATTGCAAAATCAGCTGACCTGGTTCTCTTGATTGTGTTTTAGACGACGAGACGGACCGTCCCTTTCCTATTTGTTCGTGGAGATGGTGTAATACTGGTGTCTCCTCCACTGCGGACTGTTTGATCAGGAGAAAAGCTGTGCTGGTCATAATTGTGTATCCAAATCTGCAATCACATTATATTTTGTTTAAGGTGCTGCAGTTGACTCAATAGACTATTACTGGGGAAAGGTTGAGGAAGGTGGTCTGTGTAACAATCTGGTTTTCGAAGCAAAAGACTACTAATTTTGAAATCCTTGTGATCATTCTAGCATTCGCTTTTGTACCCTGAGCTTCATAAGTTTATGTAATTGATTAGGGCCTCATGAATCTTGAACTGCCTATTGGTAAGGTACCGACTGTTCATCAGAATAGGGGTCTCAAAGACTGACAACATGCTCTTAACTTGAATCTGTCCTAATATATGGATATTTATTAGTATTTTTTTGGTAAAGGTGGTCGCTGGGCCAGCTTGCATATCGACTATTTCACTGGGTAAATTACCTGTTGTTAAGGGACAACTGCTAAGTGAGAGAATTGTCTGTTCTATTTTTTCCTTATTTATTTGTCATTGGCTTTTTAGTGATTTCTTTCCCTGGTAGATTCTTGTATGTTGGGCGTATCATTCATTCTGAATTCTGATGATAGAGCAAGGAGTGTAGAAAGGAGCGTGGATCTTTTGCTTTTGCTTGTCTAGTACGTGATAAATCTCAATCATTCTCCGAGAACTTGTATAGAGAAGGATTTCTTGCAGCGCAACAGTTTTTTCATAGCAACTTAGCTGTCCGGCGCTGCTTTTGGCATAACAACATTACTCTTTCCTCGTCAGATTAATCTAATCTAAGCACTTGTCTATGTTTCTTGAAAAACCTTTTCCTTCCTATTTGTCACCGCTTTTTCTCTTTAAGCGAATGTTAAAGACTTAAGAGCAGTAAGTTGGGATAAGAGCCTTGAAAATGGTGGAATTGAGTACTATGAAGAAGAAAAAAACAGAGAAATTTTTCTGCTGTTTCCGCTTTCTGTTAACTTTTATTAGTTTCTTGTTTATTCCCTCTTTTCATTCTGTTTTATTTTATTCGAACTGGATTCCTCGGGATATATGCGTTATGCTGCTGTCAAAAATTCCCTATATTTTTCAAATAATGGGTCAATTTCCTTGCTCTTCCACTCATATAGGATCTAATTTAAAGCGAATTTTCTTCTTTTATTTTTACTGGCAGTAGACAGAAGTTTGACTATAAGACCTTGTTTGCCCTAAAATTGGGTTTTCAATTCTTTAGTAAAGTGTTCTTCGAAAAAATAAACAATTAATATCGAAGTAGAAGTGGTTATGTTTCTTATTCAACATTTTCAGTTTTCCTTTTAACAAACTGCTTATTTTATAATAACATTGGTTTTATTTTGCAGATATCATTACTATTTAGAAAGTCAATTTATTTTTTTTTCAAAAAATAATTTTCTCATACGACATCTAATTATTATTTTTTACTTTTAAAGGATTGTGTGTTTATAGTATATTATTTACGTACTTTTCGAATATGTAGTAATTTCTTAGAACTTATAGTAAAAAAAAAATATAAGTCAGAACATTTGACCTTTCTACTCGAAAGTCTATTATTTAGGATCTAGTAATAATATTTAACTTGCCAAAAAATACTCATATTTGACCTTTCTACACAGCTTAAAAGATACTCCCATAGCTTTTGCAATTCCCTCTAATAAAAAGAGAAAACCACAAAGCGGTGTAAGTTGTAACTGTAATTAGAGAGAGGGTTGGATCATGGGGGTGACAAAGGAGCAGGTTGAATCTTCTCTAATGGCAAAGCTAAACCCTTCTCATCTGGTAAAAATATTCTGCATATACTCCGTATATATTATATATGATTTTTGTGTGCGTGTGCGTGTGAGTTTTTTTAATTTTTAAACTTCATGTATTTTGTGTGTTCTTTCAATTTATTGAGCTACCTACTAGTAACTAGTTGTAATAGGAAATCTCAACTAAACAGGCACTTGAGGTTTTCATGGTTTTAGAGTTTGTTAAAACCTAGTGAATTGCTATTGGGTTTTCCCTTGTTTGAATTTACCACTCAAATTAAATGATTTGTCGAGTGATATTTAAACTAAGCGAGAAATGAGAATACGAGATATTACCTTCTAATGGGAATTCTCCCAAATGCAGAATTTTTTATTGCAATAATATATAAATGATTATGCAAAAATAGGTCCGAAAACATTTTAAGTTTTAGATGAGTGATTATGTAATAAGGAATTGAGTATTTTCAACAACAAAAAATTCATTTTTTCCCGATGACTGAGGTATTCCAGCCAGCTTGTGCGCACCTCGACTAATTCCACGGTGTACCTGCTACCTCCAACCAGCACACGTACTGAGTAACTGTGTCCGCCAAGGTGTTTTTCACTAAATATCTGATATGAAAATAACTGTGTAAGTTCTTGTTATCTGTATTTAGCTGGTGATGTTGGAAGCCGTTATTTGTTAGCAAACGTTTCGAGAATAAGTGTTTCTGGGATTATTTATTTTTGTTTGATTTGTTAGTGGATTTAATCATGAAGCAGTGCCCTCGTTAACTTATAATCTGCTCTGCTTGGGGTTCTGCACTAGGAAGTTGATATTTGTGGGATTTGCCACTTTGCAATCCAAATTTTGTAGGGTTCCACTTTGGCATATAAACTGTAATTTCTAACACTAGAAATAGATGATAGCCAATTTTCGTCTTGGCCCAATGGTTGAGGTGGAAGCGATGAGACCAAGAGGTTTGTAGGTTCAAATTCCATATATTAGTATTCCCTTTACTGCTATTTGGTTATTAGGTGCGAATTTCCATTAGTTGGTATTGCACCCAAGTATGTGACCTAGTGGTCGATGGAGTGGGTGAAAATCAATGAAATCAGGGTTCAAATCTCAGTGGAGACGAAAAGGTTAAGTGATTTATTTCTTCCCATCTGCCTAAGCCTTGGTGACAAGAGTTACCTGTTTGTGCTGGTGGGAGGTAGTGGGTACCTTGTGGAATAGTCTAATGCATGCAAGTTGGCCAGGACAACAGACAACTTGGCCCTGGCAACACTATTATTAAAACAAAATTCATTTAATTGGTTGTGTAAATATTTTAAGAGTTCTGTTGCAACAACCAGGGGAAAACTACCACATGTGGGAATCTGAGTGGGAAGTGTGTTAGAGTCGGGTGAGGAATTAGGCATGGAGTTGGTTTTCGAAATGTTGAATTATGTAAAACAATTCTGAGGTTGTTTAGCTTACTTCGTTTTCTGGTTATCATAAGTAGCATGTGAGAAGGACAAAGCCAGCCATGGAGAATGACTTCGGGATCTACTCGTTACTTCACAAATTTGTTTAACTATGTTTTCTACTAGGTATCTTGCTAATTTTGGACTGCGGCTGAATTCTTGGAAATGCGGAAAGCTATAAAATGGTATCCCCTGTACTACTTATTTGGTACATTCCCTGGTACATTTGCTTGAAGTTAGGGAAGGCAGGTGAGCTATAGCTCATTTGTTGTGAAGTTTCTCTGAGTATGAGAGGGTTTCCTGGTTGTGATCACTGGTCACAAATTGCCTGTCTCGGAAATGAAGAGATTTAAAACGTTTAACGTTGAAATGATTTTCTAAAGGATGAGCTGAACTTGTTGGTGGAGCGTGCACTGAAAAAGTGCTTAAATAAAACCTTATCTTAAGAGCATATCCCAGTATACTAAGATTTCAGGTATATCAAGGTCTAGCTGAGAGAAACTTAAATCATTGAGGAACCTGAGAGAGTTTCTCTTTTTCTGGGAATACAGGTGGCGGATGCAGCTCCTCGACAACAGGTTCTTTTGAATCCAGTAGTTTTGCCACGGAAAACCCACTAAAAATTCAACAAATATTAGATCTGAACTCATAATATTAGAAGTACATTGAGTTAAGTAGTAATTCCTTAAAGGTCGAATCCATCAAGTTTAAATCTTGGATCTGCCTCTGGGAATACATAGAATGTATATATATGAACTACCTATTCTTTATGTCAATAAGAGAGGCATATGTATGTAGGTCGTTACTCTTCTTTACTGTATCTAATTATGTGTTGTAGTATGCCAATCTGTAAACATAAAAGGTGCTGCATAATAAAAGCTTCAAGAACATTTTACTTTGAAGCATTATCGTTTCAACCACACTTTCTAAAATAGAAAAGAAAAATGAGTGCGAAAGAAAAGATCTTATAGCTATGTCAGGTTTAAGGAACAAAGGTATGAGTTTGCAGTGAGCATAATTAGGAGATTAGAACTGAATGTAGGCTTATGAGGCAAGCATCTTGAAGTTAATATCCTGTCTCTCATAAGCAGCAGACACTGATCAGCTGTAAATTGGAGAAGAGGAACTTCACATGGAATAAATAATTTGTACTTTGATCTAGAAAAGCCACAAATGTATTCCGTCCCCTCAGTACTTCTTGGGCATGTTATAGTTATTTGTCTATTATCCTTCTCTGTGATAGTTGTTCGTTGTTTATTAGCTGAATAGAGTTGCTTTTCCTCATCTGCTTATAGATTGTTATATGCACATTTGGACTAGCATATTGATGCTCTTGCTTGTACTTCCTACTCTTGAGATATATGGAATTCCATGCCTTTTCCTTGTACACTTGATCAGTTAACTCTGCCTTGGTCCCAAATTCCAATGTAGTTGTGTTTGCTATACGAATCCGTAGTATCTGTTCCTCTCTTTTTGAGATCGTCTTTTCGTGAATCCTTCTTTTCCTGTATGCTGCAATGTAGGAATTCAATACCCATGGTGTGAATCTTTTCTTTTCCTTTTACATTAGATTATTACTACATATGCTGCTTAACTTGATCTCTTTCCGTTTCTTTCCTCTGCCCAGATGGTCGGAGCCGTAACCAATCTAATTAATTGAATGGGAACTAAATACAGGAGACTAATGCAATATTACAAATTGTCCAAAAAGAGAAAAAAAGAAGAAGAGAGCTTGTCCATCTGAACCTCCTGCTATATAATCCTAGATAACCAGAAGAATTTTCCTACTCAATGTTATTTGTGGATAACTTAAGATGAGGTAGTTTCTGGGTTTGAATTAGGTGAGCACACACAATTATCTTTTATAAGGTTAAGTTTAGGTAGATGGAAAGAAATCTTAGAAGTCTGGAAGGCGGCGCCTAATTTAAACCTGAGACCTTATGGTTCTCCTCTCACCTCACTACCATTACGCCACACCCTTGGGGTGCAGTTTCTGCTATCAATTCTTCAGATTTCTTGCATTATTGACATTATTTGGATTTGTGGGATGTGAATCCATTGAATCAAATTAGATATTTTATTGTTAGTCATATGTAGATGATCTTAATTTGTCGTAAAACTTTATCAATCTTTAGTGCTTCTAACAGAATTTTGCATTTCAATGTCATCAAATGAACACATATTTCACCAGCATTAGTACTCTGTTTTAAAGTATTTATCTTAAGAATCACTTATTCTAATCCGCTAACCAAGATGTTACCTTTTAATTTTTTTTAAGTTGGAATCCTGAATGGGATGTAGAAGGGGTAGTTTATTAGAATATTACACATTAAAATGCACGTGGCAATTAATTCTGTTCTTTAAGGAGTATTTGATAATCAAAAGCACTCAGGCATAACTTCGTGTGTTTTAATTTCTCTTTCAAACACCTCAAAAACCTTCATATGTTTATTTATTCGATTCTTTTTGCCCAGTAAAATCCCCTAAGCATTGTTTTGTTTCCTTTTTTTTTCTTTTGTCAGGAAGTGATTGATACATCTGGGGGGTAAGTTCCTAGGCATGGAGTGTATTGAGAACTACAAAACTACTTTTAAAGTTCCATGCCTTTTTGGTTCTCTTGTCCGACATAGAATTCTTGTTCTTGTTTTCAGATGTGGTGCAAAATTCTCAATTGTCATTGTGACTGAACAATTTGAAGGCAAAAGATTGCTGGATAGGCACCGACTGGTTAATGGTGCACTGGCTGAGGAGATGAAGGAAATCCATGCTCTCTCTATTACAAAAGCTCTAACTCCAGAGCAGTGGAATCAACAGCAGGAATCTGAAAAGTCTCAAGCAACTGCTTAAAATATGATATATGATCATCTTCGTTGCCCAAATGCTTGATGAATATAGCACAATACTCTTCTCCTTATCTGATGAGGGGTAACTGTTATAGGAGGTTAAGAAAACTGTCTTATATCATGTGTTGGTCAAACTTTCTAGAGTTGAGACCGTGATACTTTAACTATATATTGAATAATGCAGTAGCTGGTCAAACTTTCTAGAGTTGAGACCGTGATACTTTAACTATATATTGAATAATGCAGTAGCTTTGGGATTCAATCAATTGTTATTGCTTAATTGACAGGTGATGACATGTTTTTACCTATAGAGAAGAGCTCAGGTGAAGCTGCTGAACTTAGGTGAGGTAGAAGGTTTTGGGCTCAGATGCTCAGCTGGAAGCTTGATGGTGAAGAGGGACTGAGGGAGGTAGAAGGTGGAACCTCCTGGTTTTTTTTTTTGNGGTGGTGGTGGTTGTGGTGGGGGGGTGGGGTAGCTTCGGCTCATAATTTAACTTGGCAATTTGTGGAGAGACTAGGGAAGAAAGATGACGAAACTGGCTAGTTAGACTAGGCGCATTGTTGACAGATCAGGGGAGAAAGATGATGGAACTGTGAGAGTTGTTCTCATGCCTTTTCTTTAGTTAGACGTTCGCTTGGTGTTTTTATATAAATGAGAGCTGTTCGCTTGGTGTTTTTATATAAATGAGAGCTGTTGTCTTTGTGTGATGTGGAGCTTTGCATTAGGCGTGTCCTCCGCTGCTATATCATTATTGTTACGGATGTTTTGTGCTGTTGCATGAGTCTTGTAGGGAGTTCCACAGCTCGTTTGGGGTGGTGAGTTTGTATGCTTGGAGGGGATGACCTCTTTTGCTAACTACAATCTATGGACTGCTCTTGCTTGAACGAGCTCATTCAGCTAATTATGAGCTGTGAGAACTTTACTGCTCATGTGTATAGCAGTAGGTTGTGAGCATTGCCATTTAAGTTGTTGATTATTTGTGCAGAAAAACCAATACCTTCTGTCTGATCAAGCGGAAGAATGATGTTGCAAAGTTGACTTATTCGGTTTCTTTTTTCTTTCAACAATGGTGTTCGGGCCAGTTTAGGCCCTCCTTGACTAATTCATAGAGATCTTTGCTATCTTTCATTAGCAACTCACCTAGCTAGACGTAGGTAGATTGAAAGAAATCAGCTAGTTTTTTTTTTATATCTGTTGGAATTAGTTGATTTATTCAAGTCTTAGGAGTGGCTGTCATTTCAATTTCCTTGCCTTGTTAGTAGACAATCTAAAATTCTAAATGGACTTATCGGAGAGTAAAATTTTGTTTTTGAATCTCAGACTAAAACTCCCAATAAAAAAGAATAATTAGGGGAGTGAAGTGTTTAGAGTTACGTTTGCGAGTCAAAACGTTTTCGCACTTACACCATTTAGCTGCACTCAGATCATTCGACCCAAAAGTCATGTCATACTGGTTAAGTTGGTCTATAAACTCATTCATGTCTTGGTTAACCTGAAACCTACAATAAACCAGAGTCCTATACTCAAGTTCATAACCTTGTTAGTTTGGCAAACTAAATAACTAATGTCCGCCATCTCTAGCCAATGCGCACGAGTCACGACCAAAGAGTAAATCCAACTTTTTTTTTCGTGAGATGGATAAGAAAAGGTTAATGTTGGGGTTGTTAAATATAAATCACTCTTTTTTTTTTCTTTCAGAAGTACACTCAGGTATACGACAATGAGCATAATTATTTGAGAATTGTTTATTAAATGAAGACAATAGTAGATAAGGTTATGCATACACTAAGAATAAGTACTTAGAAGTAAAATTTCTCTAATACAGAAAATGATTAAAAACGTTACTGTAAATAATTGTATCGAGCCAATCGTAAAGCTCCAGATAGCCATTTTCTGATGTACATATTAGAATTTCAAGAACCATTACGCTTGTTGGGACATAGCTAGAAGATTGAGTACAGTTCGGCCAAATTAGTAGTTTTAGTCAAAATTTATATTTGTATTAAGAAATTCATTAAATATAAAAAAAATTAAATTCAGAATTAAGTATTAACATTTAATGTCACTATCTTAAAAATTAGAATCTATAAAGTTCAACTTTTAACTCCGCATGTTGTTGCTTGCAAGTTGCAATGAGTCATTTTCACATGCTTTTAGCACACAATTATTTTCATACTTCATCATATTTCGGAAAGGAAACGAAAAACAGAGGAATCACAACATCGTGAAATCCTGTTCATGTCACCTAAAAGAGTCTAATCACACTATCTTGTTATTCTTTGATTCACTTAGAAGCAGTATAACCGCAGAGTAGTATTTTAAAGTTGAGACTGAGAGTTCTTAAGAATATTTTTATCAATTAATTGTCACATCTTTAGGATATTACACTATTCAGAATAATTCGTTGAAAATAAGATAATATTTATTGTATCTTGGATTAGGCTATTGGAGAGGTAATTGTTACTTTAGTTATGTTGTGGTAGTCATTATCATCTCATAATACATTTAGTAGCGCTTACTATTAGGAATATTTTTACAATTTCATCAAGTAATGACTAATATTCTATAACGCAATGACTCTTCTTAATTATCTAAATTTCACATTAACATTATTTTTGGGCTTCATAACAAATACTAACATCTTAAGAAACTCATTTTAAATTTGAATTATTAGAAGAAAAAAAAGTATCGTTTGTTTCCAAATTCTAGGTGTAATTCTTTATCTAAAGTTAACGCATGTGGATCAGTAGACGTTAATGACAAAAACATCTATTTAGGGGTTTCTAAGCAAAGAATGCCACTTGTGAAATTTAAAAGTGACATTAAACTCCTTAAACTTTCATCAAATTGCTCCTTGGTTCATCTAATATTGGCACCTTATATAACAAGTCCAATAATTTGGTGGAAATTATGATCTTGTCAATGTTCTTCAATATCTCCAGTCTTCAGTACGTCTCCTATTCAATGTACACATATGGACAAGACTGCTCATTTTGGTCTAATCAAAAATCATATTCTGAAAGAGATCATATTCTTATACACTCAAATATCGTTGAATATAAATCTAATTTCACCCGGAAAATGAATTAGAAAGAGAATCTTAAAAGAGCGGTCTGTTTCTAAAGAGAAATAAAGTTTTCTTCTAGTTCCGCACTCTGATCTAAACTTCAGAAAGACTTGTCGACTCATATTATTTTTATGACGAGACATTCTTTTATGTTCATTGGCTTCAAATTTTATTCTTTATCAGATGTACCATATATATTACTTGCATTGTGTAGTTAATTCAACAAAATTGCTTTTGCCTCAAGAATCAAATTCTCATAAACTTCTAATTTATGCATCAATAATCGATTATTTCAATCGACTGAAAACTAGCATTGACGTTCTCTTTTTTTCTATCTGATAAGAACTTTGTTCTTTACCATAAGAGATTTGACTATATATGCACAAGTTATGCTTTGAAGTTCATGTGGCCTCAAAATGTCTAATCACAGAATCCCTCCCTCCTTTAATTTACTGTAGTTTAAGCTAAGGGAAGAACATTTCTTGGAAGGAGAGGTCCAAAATCTGGTATAATAATTCTTCAATCGTTTCACAAGGATTGGCGATGGATTTGTCACGATCTAAGCCCATGACACGTATTGTCCACTTTGGCCCAACAGACCTCACGGGTTTGTCCCTTAGGCTACACCATCATCGAGCATAAAAGCACGTGTACCATGTGAACTTAAGTCATGCGTTGTAAAGTTTTTCACTTTCCTCTCTCATTCCGATGTAAGATTTGTCTAAGGTGATATGTACACCCCTTCTTTAAAAACTTGCCGGTCCTTCTTGACCCGCCCGCGTCACTCGTCACTCGTCAGTCCGCCCTCCGTCATGGGCGTCACAGGATTGATCACTCAGCAATCCAAGTTACATAAAAGATACATTTTGACATTTTTCCCAGCCTCATTAGGACATACTTTGAGTTCTAAACTTTCTGCTAGAATCCAAAATGGTGGTTTGGTGCTAATGTACCAGTAATGGAGTGGCTTGAATTAAATCGTTTGTCTAGAAAGGTGTAACGATAATTAAAATGGACTCTACTTTTTGTTTATTTATCTGTTCTTGCCTTTCCATTATAATCTAACTTCTTAATCGCTGCCAATTATAAGGATTACCTTTTCCTAATATATTCAAGTTACAAGTACAAAGAATGCACTAATTATTGGTTGTTAATGCTTTGACTTATCATACGGAAAATAATACTTACAATAATGCCTATCATTTGACAAATATCGAAAGAGATACTAATATTTAGTCAAGTTTACAATATTCACGCGACACAACCTGATATAAATTGATATCCAACATTATTTAGTCCACAATTTTGCACGCACACATAGGATGAACACCTAATTTTGTTCCCATTAGCCGGTCTTAAAATTTGTGGACTGACAATAACAGAATTTAAAGAGTCGCCTCAAATACATACCATGCAAATAATTCTGAAAACTGTGCAATCCTTTTCTAAAATGTTGGAATTTTTCTAAAAAGCTTTTTTTTAAAAAAAATTCAAAAAAATTATTCAATTTATGCAAATGAAAGAGAGTTTTGGAACAACGGTAAAGTCGTTTCCGTATGACTTATAAGTCATATGTTCGAGACATGGAAGCAGCTATTAATGCTTGCATTAAGGTAAACTGTATACATCATACCTATTGGGGTACGACCCTTCCCCGGATTATGCGCGAACGCGGAATATCTTGTGCACCGAGCTGCTCTTTTATTTCATGCAAAAGAAAATGGTGATATATTGATAGTATTTCAACTTATTAACATTTTGAAAAACTTTTCCCAAATTTCGTTTGGCTGAAAATAATTCTTGAAAAACTCTTTCACCTCTTTTTGAAACAAACGCACCTAGACTAGATTTCTACCCTTTAATTCTTTTCGGTTTTCCGTTTTTGAAGGCATTTGGACCGAAAATTTTCAAAAATTGGACGAAATTTTTCAAAAACTTATTCAGATTTTTTTTTGGGTGGAGGATTGCCTTGAGACGCTTTCTGAATAAACAAGTCTTCTCCCTTTTACAAATTTTTAAACTACATCAATCTTTTATCTAAGCTCCCGTTTGGATGTAATTTTTCTTTCACTTTCTTTTTTGTTCAAGGAATTTGATCAATGTTTGTCAAAAGTATTTTCAAGTTCCAAAAATTAGGTAAAATATTTTCTTCCACTAATAAAAATTTAATTTTTTAAAGTACAAATATATGTCCAAAC